GTTCGTGGGAAGGAACCATCAGATGAGGAGAGCGATGTGAAGAAAAATCGCGTCGCCGATGAGAGATGGAGTCTCTGTTGAGCGGAAGTCAGGATCTGACTTGTTGTAGGTAACGGCAGCGGAGGCAAGGTGATAGTGAGCATTCGAGCAGGAAGAGATCACCGAGGGAATTGAGGAATTCGGAGAGGAAATCCCGATGACAGTGAGAGATTGTTTCTCTGCTGAGTGATTGAATTCAGGATTTGGCAATCACGTCAGGGTCACCAATTTGTAGCGGACTGCTACCTTTGTGACAGACTCTCCAACATCTAGCTAGACTCTCAAAACAAGCTAAGCTATAGCCCAACTATGAAGGAAACAGACGTACAGCACGGAACTCGTCTACTCAGTATCTTGTAATCAAATTGTACACGCAGGGAGCTTAATCATGATCAGGATGGCGGATAAGGTTAAACAAACGGAGGCTACTGATTGGCCACTGATTGTCCGGTGGCTGCACACAGAGTTGTACGGCCGCACCTCCTAATCCTGGAGTGCAATCATGCGATGACGCACTAAGGGATGACGTGTCCCACATAACCATGCCTTCATTCTGAGTAGAACTATCTACAGGAAACTCTACCTACCCCACACAATGTCCACCATATATGACTTTCGCTGTACTCACGGTATCCACCAGAGCCCACACCTTACACTGATTCTTCACGGTAACTACTTGTCTGCAAATGTATTCGCTCTCTTCCCTCGTCGTCCTCAAAATGACGAAAGATGAAGGCATAGTGAGGACCAAAGAGGGACACACAACAAAGTGAAGACCCTTTAATTAATTACTCAATTTTAACTAGTATTAAACAATAACAAATGAGCACTCAAAATGTTTACACGCCAGATAAGATACTAGCTGTAGCGGATTGCTACGCTAGTAAAGCCTGATCGACTCAGAAATCCCTATGGCAGATTCTCCAACATCTAGCCAGACTCCCAGAACAAGCTAAGCTATAGCCCAGCTATGAAAGACTCCCAGAACCAGCTAAGCTATAGCCCAGCTATGAAAGGATCTCCCAGAACCAGCTAAGCTATAGCCCAGCTATAAAGAAATCAAGTCTCTATGGCAGATTCTCCAACATCTAGCTAGACTCCCGAGAAATCTCTGGCAGATTCTCCTACATCTAGCTAGACTCCCGAACTAGCTAAGCTATAGCCCAGCTATAAAGAAAACAGACGTATAATTCAGCTAAGCTATAGCCCAGCTATAAAGGAAACAGACGTGTTGCCTAGACTCCCAGAACAAGCTAACCTATAGCCCAGCTATAAGGGAAGAGACGCGTAGCACGGAGCACGTTTATTCAGGACGTATATTCGATGTGTAGCACGCAATACATTTATTCAGTACGTATATTGATAGGCGAATTGATTTGGCAAAGCGATTAGTTATCAGATAACTCTAGCATAATTCGTGTGAACATTAATAGCTAAATATTTCTGAGTAATATTCTATAGCAGGATTTCTATTTGGTCATTGGTGGAGTGTCCCACAAGGCATTTATTTATTTAGATATTGCAAAGAATTGGTACGAAGAGAAATACGGAAAATTCAAAATTTTTAATCTGGTTCTGGGTATTTACTTCTGCACTTAATTAATATTGCCGTGACGTTCTTTTCCAATGTGACCTAAAGCGAAAGAAATCAGCATCAAAACGATATAAAAATAAACATGGATAAAAGGTAACACATTCCTTAGTGAAATTTGGATATGTGGTTTCCCAGACTGAGCTTCATATCACAATAGCTGAAAATGCCAAGCAGTCATTGCCATACGAGTGATGAACGGTAAGTGGTTAGTGAAGGAACTGGACGAGGTGGCGACAGTGTGTAAATTATCAAATCTTAAAATCGATAATCAGATTGCCGAAATAGCAAATCTTAAGAAACAAAAATCCCAGGACTCAAAATAATTACTTTCTGTTTATTTGAAATAATTCTGGCACCAATTTTATGAAAATTCCTCTCATGTCAATTTCGTAATAGAATAGCAGTACATTTTGGTCTAAATTGAAATTTCTCAGAAATTTACCCAACCGAGTAATTAGAATTAGCCAAAAATTAAGTTTTTTGAAATAATTGGTCCATCATGTTGCTTACGTAGCATCGCATTGGCTAGTTATTCAATGTTCATATCCAAATGAACACATCTCAAAGCGAGGTTAAAACCCCTCTTGGTTAGCTGGCGAGTTGATCACCATTACCTCTTATTTCAACTTCCTTTCCGTCCTTTCTTCTTTCCTTTGCTTCCTGTCGCTTACGTGGATTCGAGGACGTTCCAGTCGCCAAAGTGCACGAAAAATGAGTAGGAAGGCAGACAGGTGAGCAAACACGTCAGTAGGTGGGAGAAATCATAACCTGTGGTGCCCAGGAAAAATCTATCTCTCCCTTCCATGAGGTTCTGGGTGGAAATATCAGCTTAAAACGGGCAGCTGATGAGGGTTCTGCTCAGAATTTACCCCCACCACTTCCCATTCGTCACCTCCATATAGACGAAGCACGCATTTGTTTTCATTCGGTTTGGAAGCTGCTCTCCATAATTACCTTGTTCTCTGCTCTAACTTACATAAATGTTTATGTACTCTTTTGATTAGGTTTTACCGATGTGAATAATAAATGCATAATTTATAACTTGGCTTGATAGTTGCCAAATGCTGTCTTCTATTGGGATATTACTTTTGTTTATCAGTAGT